TTTGCTTAGAATGAGCCATTTTTATCTACAGAGTATCTTATATATGGAACCTGTAGGTTTCATAGCTTGATATAAATGAACACAATGATATGCAAGCTTACAGTAGAAGCATAGATTCTGACTCTCACTCTCTATTAGCACGGTGGGAAATTAACTTTTAATGTGAACATCTATCAGCCATTGACTCACTCAATAGTGAATGATTATTTTATGTCTGAAATCTACCAGCCACTCACATTTTACCAGCATTTGGCTGATGGCTGTTGTTTATTTCCCACCCTGCTTTCAGGCTTTGATGTTGCGACTCAGTGTCAGTTAAGACATATTGTATGTTTAAGGGCCTTATCTGTTTACTATATATCACATAACCTAACTTTATATTACTGCCAACCATCTCTCATACCATCTGCATGTTAGAATGAACTTTTACTGCCATCCAGTCAGCAGGATTTTAAAAATACTGAGTTCTTGAGTCCACATTGGCAGCACAACAGAAATGTCTAAAATATCCCTGGGTGCAAAATCTGAAAATTACAACATTTGATAAAATTAACCTTTCAGTGATATCTTCCGTTAACTCCCCACACACTTGGTACATTCTTGCTTTAAAAAGGTTAATGTACATACAGCAATCAACTGACATTTCTAACGTGTGAGAACTTCTCCCATTCAATTGCTAGTGCTGAATGTCAGCACAGAATACATTCAAAGTATTGATGAATTCACAATGACACCAAGTCTCACAGTTTCTGGATATTGCAGCCTACCAATTCCTCGTTTGCAGTGTTTCTATCTGAGCACTGATAAATATCCAAATGTACTGTACTGTAGATTCACATGAACAGCTTGGCAGCTCAGTATTATAAAATGATATTCAAGAGTGAATAATAATTTGATGAATTTTTTCAGTTTCAGAATTACTATCAACAATGTAAATAAAATCAGGTTTGACGGACATTAGGAAATAAGTGTACTGGCAATAAGAATAGTCATTATACCAATCCTCTCCATACAAAGTCAATTTTTAGCTGTAGCTCAGCAGTGAGAGTTTACCCAGATGCCATGGAACTGTAGATGTTACATTTTTTCCGAGCATTTTTAAGTGTTTCTCATCAATGTTGGATTAAAAATAGATTTAGGATTTATTCTTTATCTTCAACCACTCACTGTGATTCATTATCAGTCAAATCTCATCAAGTTGATTTCACACTGCTATACCACTACCATAAAACTGGGGTGGGGGCTGGAAAATGCTCAGCAGTCAAATGTGGTATGTATTATTTGTAGTTAATGGACTTGTAAAAAGTAGTAAAACATAAAAAAAACACTGATACGGTCTATATGGCAGAGCAGTTATGTTGATTTACAACTGTTCCCAAAAAGCATTTTTATGTAGTTGGTTTAAAATTGTGTGCCTTCAGGAGACTGTGGCAAGTGATAGCACATTAACAGTGCAAGTTTATATATGAGCCATTTAAACACGGTTTTCCATGGGTGCTGCCCAGAGTCATGAGCACATGTGGCATTATGCTTTTATGTTTATCTGTTTAAGTGCTGACTGAGAGCAGTTTATTCAGTGAATCAACATTCAAGCGCTTTGTTGATCTTGTCATATATTTTAGGAAGCTCTTAAGGTTTTCATATTTTTTGTGGTAGTGAACTGTAAATACGTTTACTTTGCTTACATTGATGTGCCTCTATGACATTCACCACAAGAGGGCAGTGGTGGCACTCTTTGTGCACAAAACAACTACAGTCTTTGCTATGGAGTGCAAATGAGGGCAAGGGAGGAATCAGATCAGATACTAATCTCAGAGTCTGTGTTGCTATAACTAGACACTCTGCTTACTGTGTTTAATGACAACAAATGCCACGAATGCTCAGAAATTATGCCAGCTATTGTGAGGACCATAGGGAAAAACAGATTTCCTCCCTAATCAGATAGTGTTTGACTTGGGCCTAGACTTCCCCTCTGTAATTAGCGGCTAAAGTACACAAGCATACAAGCAATCAACAGTACAGTCAAGACAATCTGATTGTTGGACAGAGGTTGCCCACAGCAGATAATCTTCTCCTGCCTGTAGTTATTTAAAGAAGAGATGACTTCCCATCCACATTGCAAGGAATACGCATGTCAACATAAAAATGGTTACAGACATATTTGTGTAAAACTATGGGAAATAAACTAAACTAATAAATAATATTTTCACTTTGATGACATCTATTCAAAATGTTTCCATTGCCAAACATGTTGTCATTAGAGAAACGTCTCTACAGTTTACTTTGTTTATTCAACATATATTCTTGTTTTCCCCCAATAATTATATTAGTTCTGCATTATTACAGGATATTGAAATCTTACAACATCTTAAAATATAAAATGCCATAAAGTACAAAGAGGTTAGTGTAAGTTGAAATAAACACCACAGCTACACAACATCCTCGTAGAAATATGGAGAGAAAATTAATCCGTTTTTTTATTTTTTTGGGTTAACGATCCGTCAAACACACATCATACAGGTAACAAACAAAATGTGTGTTTACAACGGTCTGTAGTGTATAGTACAGCCCACGTGAAGAAAATGGGATTAATCAGGTTATCCCTTCTGAGATCCGTCTCCATACTCTTTCATTATGGAAACCAGATGCAAATAGGAATTCATTTGGCATGATGAATGTATATAAAACACAGGGGAGGTGTAGGAACACTGCAATGGCAAACAGAGCCAGTATTTTTTGGCATCTGTTATTCATCATATTGGAATGAATACACAACATTGTACTGTATAACATTACATACCTAAAATGTCTATAATAGTCTATACTTATATACATATTTTATACTGTTTCACAGTGCTTTGATTTTGGCAAAGCTGCAGACAAACATTCTTTAGACTATAATACAGCAGCTGTTTGAGAAAGGAAGCAGATTTTTTTTAAGATCAGTATGTTATAACTGTACTGATAACAATCCAGTTTGCCCTATCATAATTGAATCCTTTATTCTCAACTAAAGCGCTCACATGGAGGTATGTACTCTCTGATCAAGATTGCACAATTATAGCATCTGCATCTTGATCCAGATCTGAACTTAAGAAAACACAGAGACAAACAATAATGGGATATATGTAAAAGAAAAGAAAATCCTTTGAGGCTTGGGAAGCTTTTTCCCACCGTGAATACTGTCTAATCAGAAGATGATGGTGTAGCATTTTATCAAGAATTGTCTATATGTACACACTGTAAAATATATTACTGTATTTTCACAGTAAATTACTGGCTAATACTGCAGTAAATTCACAGTAGCATGCAGTCTTTGGTGGAACCATTGGCAATCTGGTCTACATAGGAACAAGCACACTGCTTGTTATTATGTGTGTATTAGTGTTTTTCTTCTACGTACCTCTATGCAGCACCTGCAATGAATTTAAGGAATTATTCAACATTTTGGAAAATACACTCTTTCTTGGAGTGTACACAGTGACAACAAGAGTTTAGGCCAATAAACAGTGCAGCACATAACCCCTTTAAATCCACATGGCATCTTTACACTTGGGTTTCTGTATGAATTAAGCATACTAATGTGTTCATTAATTAGCTGTTAGGTTAGAGATGTGTTTAGTGGATTCTGCTAACGCTGGACAGAGCCACGCTGGCTGTTTACAGTCTTTATGCTAAGCTAACTAGCTGATGGCTGTAGCTTAATATTAACTGGGCATAAATGAGAGTGGTAGCATCAAAGAAATTGAGAAAACATATTTTACAAAATGTCAAACTATTCCTTTAAGGAAGTGTATGTGTATGAAAACATAAAAGCCATGGTGGAGGCAGTTTTGGAGGAAGTACTTAAAGACCTTTTACTTAAAGATCCCCTCCAGACATCTGTAAACAAGTATATATTTCCACATTAAAATCCCTAAAAAGGCTTTCTGCCTTCTTAAAAATTTCAGAACCTATGAATATACAGATTTCATTCAAATCATGCCTGTAGGCCCCGCCCCTTAACATCTGATTTTCAGTGAGCAAACAGAAACTTTCCACTTTCAGCAGATGAAAATGGAAACCACCTTCTAGTGTCAAACTCTACAAATACATCATTCAAACTTTAAATCAAAGTACCAATACTCTGTTACAAGTAAAGATCTTGCATTCAAATGTTTTACTTAAGGACCAGTGTGTAAGATTTAGTGGCATCTAGTGGTGAGATTGCAAACTGCAATCAACTCAATACTGTTTTCCTTCTAAGTGAGAAACCGTATCGGTGGTTGCAAAACTTGCAATAAACGCAAAAGGCCCTACTTAGAGCCAGTGTTTGGTTTGTCCACTGTGGGCTAGCTAATGGAAAAGATTCTTATTTCCAGGTGATTACACACTAAAAGTGCCAAATCATAACAAGTTATCTCAGGACATTTTTTAAATAGTGCAGGTGTAGACCATACTCATTATAATGAATGAAAACCTTTGAATATTTCTGCCAACCGATCCTCCTCAATATTACACACTAGATCTATCTAAGTAAAAGTACAAAATGAATGGCCCATTTCAGAATAGTGTATATTATAATATTGGATTATGATTATTGATGCATTAACTATATACTGCTAGCTTGTGAATTCCCACTTATTTTACCTCAACCTACAGTATTATAATACATCCTATTTTATTTGTTCAATATATTTTGTATTATTAATCTGTAACTGGCCACTGAAGTTATCAAATAAATAAATAGAACCTGCTTTTTAAGGGGCCGAACATGGAAAATACACACTTAAAGTACAATTTTGAGGTAGGGTCCACCTGGGTGGAAGATGATAATCAGGGATGAAGGGGTATAATTGATCTGTGGTTAGACATTATGGACAAAGACGGTGGGGATAAGACAGCAAAAAGGGGGGATGGAGGGGGGGGTATCACCTCCTGTGCACATGACTCCCAGCTACGCCCCTGTATTCAGCGGCAGTCATCATATCAGAGATAAGAGAAGGGAAGAGAGCACAAAGAGAGAGAAGGGAAGAGAAAAGACAGGGAAAGGAGGAGGTCTGCGTAAACTCCGCCTCCCGTCTCGGATCCTCTCGCAGTCCTTATTCACAGCCTCTCACGTTGAGGATAGAGAGAGAAAGGGGAGAAACAAGAAGAAGGGCACGCGAAGAAGAAGAAGAAGAAGAAGAAGAAAAAGAAGAAGAAGAAGGGGAGCAGCAAAACGACCATGGCAATATCCAAAACGTCTCAGCTTGAGATAGTGTCCGATCACAGCGCACCTCTACCAGCGTCGACCACTGCACGGAGCATGCAGTCGCACAATAGAACGGGCTCCAGATGAATGAGGAGCCGTACCTGGGCCGTGGACAAAATGAGGGTCATCTTCATCCAAAACGCCGGTTTCGTCGCAGCTTTCTCGCCTTTTAGATGTGAGTCGGTGATGTTGGCAGCCTTTAGGACGATAGATAATGTGAACGAGCCAGAATTAACCCCAGCTAGATCATGCCTGTCAATTGAGGAGTGAGGGGATCTCAATTTATTTTAGTCATTTTTTTTCTTTTTTTTTTTTTTTTTCTATTATTGGGATAGAGCTTGCACGTATATTATAGCCAACATATCATCTTTAAATCGAAAGTGTATTGTCGGGATGCTGCCTGCTGTCGACATTTGAATGCATATTTTATTACAAAATTGGCACTAGAATTAAATTGTATCCCGTGATATAGGACTATGTATCAGGTAATTATAGACCGATAATGTCCTTTTAGACTATTTGTGCTTAATCCGTAGTAGATTGATTATATAGCGATAATAAACATGAATAGGTAGGAGGAGAAATCTTTGTCCACTCTGATCAAAGCCAATTGATCAACCAAGACAATCTGGAAATGTTAGTTTCCACATGTAATAATAATGACTAGTAGGCTACGCGTTATTCCCTGTAATTTATTTATTTATTATTACTATTATTAGACCTATAAGTATTATATTATCAATTAGTTTTAGGTAGGTAGTTTGAAATATTCAACATTGGGAAGGTTGTTTGAACACATCCCTAGTGAGATGGAAACCGCTTATTTATCGCCCCACCGCGGGGCAACCCGTCTCGAGGCCCAGAAAGGCCAAACCTCTGCGGGCAAACCGGCGGGGGGTGACCTGTCCCCTCCACCTCCATCTCCACCTCTACTTGCCGGCAACTCCCCCGAAGAGACCTGCCTGGCGAGCGGTGATGGACGGAGAAACTCGGGCGTGAAGAAACACCACCACAAGCATAACCTGAAACACCGCTACGAGCTGCTGGAGACGCTGGGAAGAGGCACCTATGGCAAAGTCAAGAAGGCCATTGAGCGGCACTCCGGCAGAGAGGTGAGGCACTGAACAGACGCTCTAAGCAGCTGCAAACATCTGTTTCACGACGCTTCTTATACGTGCATGTTTTTGTAGCGCCCTTAAGTAACCACTACAAACATCACCGGTCCTTAAAGAAAAGCTGCTTTTTTTGCCCTCAGAGGCTTGTGCGTGTAATACCCCTGGGAATTCCCCCAATGCCTAAAGGGCCCCTGGGACCAGGGGGTTGCAGCCGCACACGCCTTGTCCTATGCGGGGCCTCACGACCGGATGCTGTAGTGCAAATCCGGCTACTGACTGACTGATGTGACTTCAGTGATCCCAGTAAGCATCACTGAAAGCAACTAACAGTCCCCCAGAGATACGGGCCCACTCACATTTCTTTGTGTTGTAGACATCCTTTTGGTTTTGTTTTCATAGTTCACTGTGTGGGTGTTAGTTTGTGTGCTTATAGGTCAGTCCACCACTTTCAGTTTCCTTATAAAAAAAAAAGTTATTGGTTGTCTTTGTCATATTAAACCCACCATCTGCTGTTTTGTCCTTGCAGACCAGCACATCTCTCCAAACATTTTCATGTGTGGCAAAATTTGACCCCTGAGCCCACTTTGGCAGGACATGGGGAACTTTCCATGCACTGAGAATGCCAGGGGGAACTTAGTATAGGTCAACAATGTCCCCCCAATAGCTCCTGGCAAATGCATGCCTGATAGGGAGACCATACACACTGGTAGGGCTTACTCTCTTTTGGCCTGTCCCACTTGGCTCCTTGTCCTTTCTTCAGTATGTTTTCCTTTTCATTATTGCCATGGCAGCAGCTCTAACGTGTTTTACTTTCACTAGCGTTGTAGAATTGCACAATGTAAGTACAGAAAATTGACAGGAAGGGTCAAAATATCTTATTTGAGATTGAGATACTGTTTCCCTAAGATAGCTCTAATTGGCTCACATTAATGGCTTTGGATAATTTATAGAAGACTTTTTCATTCTGGAATGTATAATGTAACAGTATTTGAAAGCCAATCACACGTGGTTTTCATTTGTTTACATCTCTAAATGCATGCTTTAAAGCATGTCCTGCTTGTACTGATGTTTAAAATTGCATCTTCTAACCAAAATCTTCAAGAATGTACATGAATACATCCAGCTCAAACTAATGCAATCTAATACAGCAGTCCTGCAATAAATCCTGCCTTATCATGTTAAGTTTTAGAGAGATGTTGATTCAGCTGTATGAGCATTTTGGAGGACATAGTTTGTGGTGCTGTTTGCTTAACTGTATTGCATTACACAGAAAGGTGGTTCTGTTATTTATCCTAAATGATAAATGGACTGTACTTGTATAGCACCTTTCTAGTCTTTGGACCACTCAAAGCACTTTAACACTACATTCACTCATTCATAAACAATTTGGGGTTCAGTATCTTACTCAAGGACACTTCAACATGCAGCGAACCTTCCGATTAGTGGACGTCCCACTCTTCCTCCTGAGCCACAGCTGCCCCATGCCAAAGTAAATGGGATGGGCAAATTAAAAGAAACACCTGTCAGTATGTAAAAAGTTCTTTGTAGGTCAAAACTCAGTGGCCCAGTGCCTTCCTTTCTCCTGTAATCGCCTGTCTTAAGTAAAAGTCTTGAGCATAGCATTCAGACTTAAAATAGCATGTCAGTAAAGTATAGGACTTCCGTGCACCACTGTGCTTTTAACGTGGGAGTTTGTATATCTTAGGGAAGTCCTTTGAGAATCAACGCCTCTGCACATGGAGTACCAGCAGAAAACAGATGCATGACTGCCGGCCACCTCACGGGCCACGTGTGTCTGGCACTGCGTTGCTAAAGTTTACTTGACCTCTGACTCGAAGGTACTCCCTTGTGTCGGTATGGCAGATACAGCAGCATGGTGAGACTGTTGTGCAATCATCTTGACTCCCTGTCTCTTTTCTTGTTTCGTTCTACGAACTAAATGAGAAGATCAGAGAGAGCAAAGTCAGGAGAGAGACTGAAAAGGTTTTGTGTGCAACCGTGTGTACGCATGAAAGTGAAGGCACTTGAGGAAGATTGATTAGATGTGGGCACATTCAGCATGTCAGCGAAAGTGGAACTGAGTGACTGTCTTCTTTAATCTGCAAAGCCATGTTGTACTGCTTGGCAGCTCAGTGGAAAACCAACATTATATGGAGTGCAGTTGATCATAGAGATCATAGTGGGGATATATGACACATGCACAGGCTCGTGTTTGTGCATACCTCTATATTCTAGAGTCTAGAAGATGTGTTTCATGTTTGTGTACTGTGAGAAAGATAGAAAGAGACTGTGTGTGTCTTAATGTAGTGTATGCCATCTAGATGACTATAATGAAAAGGTTGTGGTGACAGCAGGGCCTAAAATGGGCATTGACACATGAAAGGCCATCCACAGCAGGAAATGAGATTTGAGGGGAAGGTTAATATCCTGTATGGGGGATCCATCACAGACAGGAGGGGGTAGGCAGTTAGCACACAGACACAGGGAAGCCCACCACCGTAACAAGAGAGGGACAGCCTCAGTTAAAGGGGTTAGAAAGTCATATTAATATGAGCTTAAAGCACCAGATTACATCATTCCCCAACAATGGATTCACTGGAGAGGTACGTGAGAGTGGAAAACACTGACATTCCTCTGCTATATGTGGTGCCGTTGATGAGGTATTATGATTCCTGGCTGTGTTTGAGAATGTAGCTCTCTGGAAAAGTGACGGGCCTCTTCCTCCCACTCACTCTCTCTCTCTTTCACAAGTCTGAGTCAGACACACACATTCAACACAACAGATTATCATAATCTTTAGAAAACGCAGGGAAGGTTGAGCTTGTGATGAATACTTCATCTATTTTAATGGCCTGAGAAAGCGCAGGAAGATGTCAGGCTCCAGTGAAGCAAAACATGGACTTTCACTTCAAACAAGCTCTGTTGCGAACAAGGAGGGTGGGGTGGGTGGGTGGGGGGTTAGGGGCAAATGAGGCGGGCCCCATACCTGGCAGGGGCCAACGTGAGCAGCAGTACAGCGCCTGTTTACTGTGAGTGACAGTAATAGGGATCCACTTAAGGACAAGCGTAGCTGTGTCAGCCAGCCAGGCCAGCTGGCAAGTGGCTGATCTGCAGTCCTGTTTAATGATCCACATCGGGGTCAGGGCAGGGGAACATGAGGAGATACACAAGAGATACCTGGCTTTGTCTCAAGCCCCATGTGGGAGAGCTGGCTCATTCAATGAGTTAGCATACAGTGTGGAATTAAAATCATGGCTGTTAAAGATTGATTACTACCCTGTTAGGAGAAATGACCACTTTGGTTTTAGGCAGCAGTTGCACAGAGAGAAAGTTGACTTGACTTTGCATGTAACTTTTGTAGGTCATTTCTTAGTTTCTCAGCTTAAATTAATGAATTCCTGAATTATTTCCTACATTAAATCCAGACTCACATTCTGCGGCAAAGTCAAAAATGTTACTCACATTTTAGGGATCAGTGATAAAATGTTGATGAATCTGATGAGGTAAAGGAAAACAACAACTTTTACCAATCATGAACACAGCATGTGGACCCATCTTGTTTATTATGGTATCATTTCTTTAAATTCTATGTAATCAAGCCATGCTCTGGATAGGAACTATTCCGGTTTGGGGTTATTTTTATTGATGTACACGGTAATTAGCTTGGCACTCGCTACTGCCTGTGGTTTCTGCTGCATGGAATAAAGCTGGGCTCCTCAGAATACTACCGAGGAGCTAGGAGAGGACAAAAGTTTAAACTAACAGAATTCAGAGCGAACAGACTCTATACAGGCCTGATCAAAGCAAACCCCAGGATTCAATCCAGAATGTTTAGGCTACAATTATAGTGACATGTGCTAGACTGTGTTCTCTCGATTGGTTTATTTGGAGGAGGCTGCTAACCTCTCATTTAAGGAGTGCAAGGCTAGAGGTTTGACTGCATCCAGTTGTGGCTGACTCATACCCTGGTGGCATTGCCATGACAGTGAAAAATTGTCAAATCAAGTGTAGTTGTTGACTGTTGAACGTCCTGTAGCAGGCCCATTGGCAAGGCAAGTAGACTGAATCACTTCCTTAGCCCCTGTGCGTTCTCCTGATTCCTCCATAAAACTCCCAGCAGGCATGCCTTTCAGGCTATTTCGAAAGTAGGCCACTGGCTGTTGTTAATAAGAATGACTAAAAATAAGAGACCGGGTAGTGATATAATGTCTTCTCAAGGACTATTTGACAGGGAAGGAAACACAGCTGTGAGAGTAATGCTGACATATGATTTATGGAGGAGCACTCTGACCTCCCTGCCTCCCTCCAGAAATCATGAACACTTAACACATTGCTCGCCTATTTTTCATAACACTTGTGGTCTTCATTGGCCCCATGGATGGCAATGCTGGTCATTCATTTGGTCCATTACTTTGATGCAGACTGAAATATCTCAACAACTCTTAGATGGATTTCCATAAAATCTTGTACAGACATTCTCTGAGGATGAAGCCTACTGCCTTTGGTGATCCCTAGCACTACCATGAGGTTCACATTTGTGGTTTTGAGAGAACTATTGAATGGATTACCATGAAATGTAGTACAGACATTCATTACTCCCATTGGATGAATTGTAATAACTTTTGTGGTCCCTTGACTTTTCCTCTGGTGCCATCATCAGGACCAAATTTAACACATGGTTTTATGACCAAATACCTACAAAACTAATGGCATTCCCTTCAGCCTCAGCTGCACTTTCTGTTGAGTGCTTATTAGCAAATGTTAGCATGCTAACATGCTAAACTAAGATGATGAATATGATAAACATCATACCTGCTAAACCGCAGCTTTGTCATCAGAAGCATGATAGCACCACTGTGCAGTAGCGTGGCAGTAGACTTGTTTTCTAACAACAGCTGCCTCCAGATAGACGGTTGCTATGGAAACCCTATGTTTCACCATGTGCATCTGACTTCTGATCTCTCTGTTAGAGACGGGTTGGGGCTCAGATCAGAGACCCAGCCCAAGCACTGACTAATGCTTGGTTAAATGTACGCCCAGGCCCTGAAAGAGTACAAAGCAAGCCTCCATTATGACACCACGTGTCAGGTTGTTTTCCTCAAAGCCAGCACCTTCATTTTGCTTCATACAGAAAAGAGGCAGAGTAAATTACACAGTTTAAGACAAAGATGACACCTCCTCCTCGTTTGACTTATCTGGCTGTCATGTCAGCAAGGCTTGGTGATGAGGTCAACGGTTGTTATAGAGGCTCTATAGGAACACTGAGGGGATGTAAATGAGGTTGATGAAGTACACAGAGTTTATAAGGGAAAGATATGTAGCAATACATACTGAGTTGGCTCACATGTTTTTACTGAGACAGACAGACATCACATGGTGTACTCTTCAAGAGCCATGTACATTTTAAAGTTCACTGATAAGATAAAGAGTGAGACGTAAATGTGTTGTCCTTTAATCTTATTTTACATTTCCCTTTCCAAATCAAATCAACAAATCTTTGCAATCAACTAAGTGAAACCAAGGGGAAAATGTGTCTTAAACTCTTGCACATGATGCACCCAAGGTATCTGCTTTGGAATCTTTTTTATGTTGCTATAGTTCATCTGATTAAAGCGCCCTGTCCTCTGTTTCCAGGTGGCCATCAAGTCAATTCGGAAGGAGAAGATCAAGGATGAGCAGGACATGGTTCACATCCGCCGAGAGATTGAGATCATGTCATCCCTCCGCCACCCACACATCATTTCTATATATGAAGGTGAGGTTCTTCTATGTGTCGGAAAATACACACACACACGTGACAAATTGCCATGACAAATACACACTGTTTGACTTGAACATACATAAACAAAAACACACACGTCCAAAATCAACCCCTCCCTCAGCTCATTTAGAACTTGTGGCCAAGCTGCAGGATTGTCATATTATGACATGCAGATGTCATAATAAGACCTGGACTACAGCTCTGGGATGTTATTCATCTTCTCTGTACTGTCTGGCTGTATGGGCCAGTAAAAGTCTGGATGGCTTTGACGGTGTGCATCTGGATCTCTCTGAATGTGTGTGTGT